AAAAAAAAAACTACACATCTTCCCCAGTGAGAGGGAGAATATTCCTGGCCATCTCTGCCCATCAGCTTTCCAGTAATCTGCATTATTTTGGCTTCCTTTATGCTCAAGCTGCAGCGTGCAGATTGCAGGGACAGCTGTCTGCAAACAGTTGATACTGGGACTAAAGCTGGTGAAATCTGGAATCGTGCCTGTTCTGCAGCTTCAGTGCTGTACTTCTGCAGATATGCCCTGATGGAAAACACAGGGAGCACTCCCAAACCATAAAAAACAACAACAAAAACCTCCAAAGCACCTGCAGCCTGTGTGCACCATCAGTGATGAGGCTTCACTTGACACTGAAATCGTGGTCACATGTTGCTCAAAGACACACTGGTGATGGAACCAGTACAAAAGCTGCACTGAAAATTGTTTTGAAAACATCTTGGGCATGAAATGCTCTGATAAAGAAGAGTTTGTTCTAACATCCCTGACACTGAGTGGGGGAAACAAAACTGGCTAAGAAAAAATGTAAATATTAATTCAGATAAAAATTACTCCTTGCAGAGGACACATCTGGAAATAGAGCAGCTTCATGGTGTAGTCCCCTCATGTTTTCATGCAGATCCTCTCTGCAGGCAGCAGAGCCTGAGGGGTTCTTCAGGAGTGTCCATTCCTCCCTAGGAAAAAGGATAAATACGAGACAAGTGCCCATTATCTTCACTGACCATGAAAAGCCTCTGGCTGAAACTGTAATGTCAAAAGTTTTAGCAGCCTTAGAGCACCAAGGGGCCTTCTGCGTCCAGGCTGGATGGTCCAGCTGGCCCTCCTCTCTCTGTGCTGCTCCAAGTCGATGGAAATCTCAGAATAATTGAGAGGTTTAGGTTGGAAAAGCCCCCAGACCATGGAGTCCAGCCATTCCCCAGCCCAGTCCCATGCCCCCAGGTGCCACATAGACACGGCTTTTAAATCCCCCCAGAGATGGGGACTCTTACACTGCTCCAGGCAGTCTGTGCCAGGGCTGAACAGCCCTTTTCATAGAAAATTTTCCCCAGTATACAACCTGAACCTCCCCTGGCACACCTTGAGGCCGTTTCCCCTCGTCCTGTCACTTGTTCTGCAGAAGACACTGATCTCCACCTGGCTGCCCCCTCCTGTCAGGGAGCTGTGGAGAGCAAAAGATCTTAATTCTCCTTGCTGTGATGGCACCTGGGAGAGCTGGGTGAATGCAGATCCTTCTCCTTTAACAGGATCTGCCCGGGAAAGTGTTTGCTGCAGCTGCTGCCTGGATACTTGGGCAGGCTCAGATTTCAAGCCTTTTGTCTGCCCCAAATCGCATTGTTCTCTTATCCATGCACTCCTGCTCATGAGAGACATCCTCCCCAGGTTTGGCAGCGCATCTGGTGGGGCACCATGACTTTGCTGGTGGTTTTGGTGCAGTTTTAAGCGCCGGGGTGGAGTCCTGGGAGCGTGTGTCCTGTGGGAGTGAGGTGGGCTGGGGTTCCTGCGCTCCATGGATGATCCCGTGAGTGAGGGATGGTGTCAGACCCACGAGTTACATCCCTGAATTACTGTGTGGTGCTGTGGAAACAGGAAGAGGAGAGGTCATCTTAATTACACGGCAAAATATGAGTGATTTTGTAACAGCTAGGAATGGATCTGGATAAAGCCTATTCATTCAGCTTTTGCAAGCATAGGAAGAACGGGTCCCTAAGTATCCTTCAGCAATTTATTTTGAGTAGTCTTCAACTGCTCTCTCAAAAAGTTTCTGCTGTCTTTAATCCCTTATTGCATTGAGAAGCATCTCCTCTGCCTTGGAAAGTGGCTTTTTAAAGGGGACAGATAATGGTAGGACAAGGAGCAACAGTTTTAAACTTAGAGGGGGAATTTAGCATAGATGCCAGGAGGAAATTCTTCCCTGTGCGGGTGAGAGGCCCTGGCCCAGGGTGCCCAGAGCAGCTGTGGCTGTCCCTGGATCCCTGGAAGTGTCCAAGGCCAGGCTGGACGGGGCTCGGAGCACCCTGGAACAGTGGAAGGTGTCCCTGCCATGGCAGGGGCTGGGATGGGATGAGCTTTAAGGTCCTTCCAACCCAGACAATTCTGTGATTCCCTCTGAAATGCTCTCAAAACTCTCATTCATAAGAAAGGACCTTGACTTGCTGGTGATCTTTGGATCATCTTTTTCTCTTCTCAGCACCCTAATTATGTTAATGACACGCCATCCTGTAGCCGTGGCAGCTTAATGCTGGTCCCCTCTGGTCATGGCAAAAGATGGTTTCATATTTGGGCTGGGAGCACAGAACTTTCTGACTCGCCCCTGGTCAGGGAGCTGTTGAAACATTTCCATGTTGGAGCAATTCTGTGGAAGTACGAGAGTGACTTGTAACCTGCCCTGTGTGGCCAGTGTGTATTCTGTTGAATTCTGTTGAATAGCCAAGAAGTTCTTCCTGCCATTTTGACTGGAATATGGGATTTTCCTGCCCTAGTTCCCTGTTAAACAGGTGCTTTGTATCATCTGGAAATAGCTGTGTTTCAACACGAGGATCAAGTGGATTTCACAGCGAGGCTGAGATTTGCTTTCAAGCCCGGCTCATGTGACATGAAAAGCTGCTCTGCATGTAATAACCACTAATATTATTAAAGTGTGCTTCAGGGTGGGCACTCTGACAAAAAATACCACTTTATCACCAATGCAAAAGAGAAGAGTGGGGATTTTTTCCAGTTTTGGGGGGATTTTTGTCTTTCATTATTGTTCCAAACCATGGTGCACTTGATCTAACCCACAGTAATAAAAAAAAAGATTATCTCATGGACAGTAAGCTCATCACCACCCTTTGCTGATAACAGAAAACAAACACCACTTGCATCTCAGTGTGTTGGAGGAACAGGCTGCACTCCCTCCCTCGCCTGGATCAAGTCAAAGCAGGAATCTTGGCTATGTCTGGGAAAGAAGGATGCCAAGAGATTTTTTTTTGTTTCACTTTTTAGTTGACTTATAACTCCACCTGCAAAATATTCCCAAACTGACATCTTTTTTTTTTCAGCATTGTCATGATACACAGTAAAATAGGATCATGATTCCCAGAGAATTAAGAGGTATGGTGTGCTCACCTTCTCTCTTTCTGTCTCCCTCCCCAGTTTTGGGCAATTTTTTTTGTGAAAAAGAGAAAGAAAAGTGAATTCCTATTTGGGATAGTTTCTTACAGAATGAGTATTGTCAGTAGTGGCAGGAAAAAGGATCTGAAATGACAAAACACTTAATGTTTCCATCTAGCCCTTTTAATTTCTGTTCCTTTACCTTGTCCTGGCTGTGTCAGTGTCCTCTGAAGCCTCGAGGAGCACGCTGGGTGAATGCACAGTGAGGGGAGGGTGTCACTGCCAGCATTACGTGGGCCTGTGGCACGTCTCCCAGCATCACGTAAACTGCAACAAATCCTTCATCTCCTGTGCATCACACCACCGTGCTCAAAGGCTTTCATTAACTCTGGAGGCAGTAAATTTTTTGATAAATCCATCTGAAGGCCTTTTTCGGGTGCTACTGTCTGGTGCTTCTGCTTCCCAAACACACCTTCCTGCGTTTTGTAATCATGGTCTTTGAAAGATCCCCAGGGAATACAGAAACTGGGCACAAACACAAAACAAATGGAAGTAGGGAATTCACTCTTCCTCTCTCAGCTGCTGAGATTTTCCTTTCTTCCAGCTGTATTAGGTTTTAAAAGCTGATGTCAGTTGTACTCAATTTTGTGCAACAATCCAAAAACTGTGATAAAAAGTTTGTGAAGGCAGTCATACATTTTCAAATCCAAGTAATTTTCTTGCCTAAATGACAATAAGTAGAACAACTAACCAAATGAACTCAAGCATTCATAAGTAAACCTCTACCTACCACCATTCTTTCAATTATTTTGACCACTCCATATTTTTCCTGCTCAAAGTATAGACTTTTTTTTTTAAATAAGGATATTTTATGCTGTTGATACAATGTCTGGATGAGTTCTGAGGAGGTGAAGAGGTATCTCACAGTGTAATACTGGCATTGTTCTGTGGGTGATTTTCAGGGAAAATGAGGGGCTAAAGGCACTGAGGAGCTCAGGGAGGATTAGGAAACCTCTAGATGCAGGAGGTTGGACCCAGGATGCAGATGTTGGACCCAGGAGAGACCCTGGCATGGGAGAGCACTGGAGCTGTCAGAGCATCCTTCCAAGTGGAAGTCTGTCCCTTCTGCACATCGAGCAGATGCTGCAGGATCTCAAGAGTCTGCAGCCTCCATCAAACAACCCCCCTGCCTAACTGCCCCGCAAACGTCCTCTGGAAATTCCTGCACATTCCCTTTTCTTTTTGCACCATGGATCCGTTGCCAGGCTGCACACACCCAGGTTTGGCAGGGCTCCACCACCCACCACGCTCTGGCGACGAGTAAGAGCAGATTTCCCATCTACTCTGAGTGGCACCGATACTCAGAGCTGGAAGGGTTGGGTAAGGAGGTGCTCCTGGTTTCTCTCAGTTCCCCAGGAGCCACCAGGGCTCACATGAAATGAATTTTCCCTAAAGCACTAACGCTGCTGTGAAACTCATGGGATGCCGTGAAACTCATGGGGTGCCATGAAACTCACTCATGAAACTCATGGGGTGCTGTGAGTTTTGGTCTCTTGTTTCAGCTAGAACACCTGGATCTTTGGAGGACCAGGGAGCTTAGGAGACTGCTGAGGTCCCTGCCCTTCCTACATCTCTGTTTCACCTTTGCAGCTACCAAGGCAGGTTAAAAAGTGCAGTTGTGGTTCTGAGGTGTCATTACTTCAATGCATTGAATGTCTCCTGCCTAGCAGGAAATACTCAATTTACTTTCTTAGACCTTTTCTATGAGGGTAGAAAAGGCTGAAAGAATTGGGATTGTTCAGTGTGAAGAAGAGAAGGCTCCAGCAAAACCTAATTGTGTCTGTCCAGTGCCTCAAGGAGCCAACAGAAAACATGAAGAGGGACTTTTCACAAGAGCATGTTGTGTCAGGACACAGGGAATGGCTCCCACTGCCAGAGGGCAGGGACAGATGGGATATTGGGAATTAGGAATTGCTGGCTGGGAGGGTGGGCAGGCCCTGGCTCAGGGTGCCCAGAGCAGCTGTGGCTGTCCCTGGATCCATGGCAGTGTCCCAGGCCAGGCTGGACAGGGCTTGGAGAAACCTCTGATAGTTCAAGGTGTCCATACCCATGGCAGGGGTTGGAATGGGATGAGTTTCAAGGTCCCTTCCATCCCCAGGCTACCCTTCCATGATTCTGTGATTCTGTGATTCCATGACCAGCTGTCAGACACACTAGGAAGGGCATTCCCAAGCCAGCAGCTTTCCTGTCCATGGGCAGGAAGCTTCCCTGTACATTCTGCACCTTCCTTGGCTGACAGCTGAGACACACCTCCCTCAATCCCCATGGATAACTTTGCCAGGAAGGCTGTGAGAAACACCTCTTGGAGGGAACCTGAGGAGCCATATCTCCTCTGGGAGCTGTTACACCTCCAGGCAATCTAGAAAACACCATTTATTATTTCCTAAGAAATAATAAATCTTCCAGGTCCCCTTCCTCATTTTGGTTTTGTTTGGTTTTTATTTTAAC